AAAAATAAAAGGTGAGACAATAAATAAATAAATGTGAGGCCTTGCTGACAGAAGTATGTCATTGGAAGCCAGCTTTGACTCATCCAAATGCAAGGAGCCTCTTCTTCCTCAGCCTTCCTCACTGTCCAAGTGGCCTAATGCCACCCACACTCAGCACACAGACCCTTGGTTGGCCTGGATCATCCTCCACCCAACCCCCAGATGTTCCTGAGCATCTGCTGCCAGGGTGCCAGGAGTTAAGTCATCCCAGACACTTTCTGTAGACATTTCTGTTAATTTCCATCCCCTCCATTCTCCCATTTTAGTCTGCTTAAGTTTTCTTTGTGTCACTGGGCAATTACCAAGTGCTGTTATGTATCTATTTGTCTTCTATTTATTTGGTACTCTCCCCAGTAGAATGCTACCTTTGTACAAAATAATGTTTCCTGCCCAGCATCTTGGGTTTTTGTTTTGGGGGTGTTGTTTTTGTTGTTTTTTTTTGTGAGTGTGTGTGTGTGTGTGTGTGTGTGTGTGTGTGTGTACTCACCACAGTGTGTATGTGGAGGTCAGAAGACAAATTTTAGAGTCAGTTCTCTCCTTCCGTCATGTGGGTTCTGAGGATGAAACACAGGTCATTAGGCTTGGCAGCAGGCACCTTTACCAAGTGAGCCATCTCACTGGCCCTATTATTATTTTAAGACTGTTTTCTGTTATTTTGATGTGTGTGTGTGTGTGTGTGTGTGTGTGTGTGTGTGTGTGATCTGCACAGGAGTGTAAGTTCCAGAGGACATTGGATTCCACGGACCTAGAGTTACAGGGGGTTGTGAGGCACCCAATGTGAGTACTGGGAACCAAAGTCAGGTCCTTTGGAAGAGCAATACAGTACTCTTAACTGATGAATTTACTCTCCACCTCCTGTGAGAACAAAACAGGTTTCTGTTTGCAGCTAAGTCAGTTAAAAATAAGTTCCTGTGCAGGTTAAGGGTTCTGTTTGTAGTTAAGGAATAAGTGACTGTCCTGTGTTGAGTCCTTGCCAGTTAAGGTTTCTTTTCTGTTTTAAAAGACTTATTTGTTTATTTATGAGTGCTCTATCTGCACGTACATCTTTACGACAAAAGAGGGCATCAGATCCCACTGGAGATGGCTGTGAGCCACCATATGGTTGCTGGGAATTGAACTCAGGACCTCTGGGACAACAGCCAGTGCTTTTAATTGCTGAATCATCTCTCCAGCTCCCACAAGTTAAGGTTTCTATTTAATTAAGAGTAAGTTCCTAGGTAGGCAGCTCATGCCTTTAATCCCTGAACTCAGGAGGCAGAGGAAAGGGGATCTCTGTGAGTTCGAGGCCAGTCTGGTCTACAGAATAAGTTCCTGTTTCTTAGATCTAGTGTAAACTACAAAACATGATTTTCACCCTACATTAAACTTGCAACTCCAATCACATGATGTATATCCTTACCCTTGTGGTCTTTATCTTCCTGTCCAGCTCTAATGTACAAGAGGCAGTCTGTGGTGGTTTAAATAAAAATAGCCCCATAGGCTCATAGGGAGTGGTACTACTAGAAGGTGTGGCCTTGTTAGAGAAGATGTGAGCTTGTTGGAAGTGGTCACTGGGGGCAAACTTTGAGGTTTCAGAAACTCAAGCAAGACCTAGTATTTTGTTCTTTTTCTGCTGCCTACCAATTCACATATAAAACTCTCAGCTACCTCTCCAATACCTTGTCTGCCTGAATGCCACTATGCTTACCACCATGAAAATAATGGACTAAACATCTGAACTGTAACTCAGTCCCAATTAAATGTTTTCCTTTATAAGAGTTGCTGGGGTCATGGAGTCTCTTCACAGCAATAAAACTATGACAGAAGTTGGTACCAGGGACTGGGCATTATTGTCATAGGCCTGACCATGTTTTTGTTTGGAGGAATGTGGACTTTGGGACTTTGGGTTAGGAAAGCAGTGGAATGCTTTAAGTGGGGATTAATGGGCCATACTGGTAGGAGCATGGAAGACTGTGGTGCTGAGGGGGATTTGAACTATAGGGGCTCGTCTCAAGAGGTGTCATAGGAGAGGAATATTAGTATGTGGTCTAGAGACTGTTTTTGTGATGTTTTGGCAAAGAATTCGGCTGCTTTCAGTCCTTGACCAAAAAAATCTTCCAGAGTCTAAATTGTAGAGTTAAGGATTAAAGACTTTGGAAGAGGAAATTTCAAAACAGCCTAGTATGGCCTCTGTCGTGTGGTTACTAGTCATTTCATGAAGATTCATGCTGAGCAAGGAAAACATGTAAAATGTACAGTTAAAGGAGAAAAGGGGCACCAGAAAGTAGAAGCAGATTAAAGAAAAGCCTGACGCTAAGTGGAATTGAAGGAACCGGCTTCCCTTTTGGCAGCCATAACAGCCGAACACGTGCTTGCCATAAACCTGCCTTGGTCACTTAGAGGTCAGATGCCTATCTCGTGACAAGGAACCTTAGTCACTTAGAGGTCAGATGCCTGTCTTGTGACAAGGAACCAATCAGAAGTTAGCTGGTGGCGCTATGCTTTACGACCCTGGGTGTGCTTTATGGACAAGTGCACGACAATGACGTAGAGAGCGTAGCAACCACCCTGGGAGGGCCTATGGGCCATAACAACCAGTTGACCAATCAACACAGGGCAAGCCCTCCAAGCCTGGAAGCACACCAATCGTGAGCCTGTGCGTAAGCCTGTGCGTACCCCTAGACACTCCCCTTACGCTGCCCTATAAGATCTTTTGGGAGACCCAAGGAGCCGTCTTTCTGGCCATCCACCATGGCGGGTGGGTGAAAGACCCGAGCTAACATGGGGTTAGCTCGTTAAATTACAATAAAGCCTTATGCAGTTTGCAGCAAGCTCTCAAATCTGCCTGGTGATGGCCGCCGTCCTGGGCTAAGATTCTGGAAGCCTCAGCTTTCTGAGGGTCTTACAGAATAAAGGGAGAGGTGGAATATATTGGTTTGAATAAAAATAGCCCCCATAAGCCCATAGGCTATGGCACTATTATGTGTAGCCTTTTTGGAGGAAGTGGTCACTGGGGGCGGGCTTTCAGGTCTCAGATGCGCACCCAGCATGGCAGTTACTTCCTGCTGCCTGCAGATCTGGTTATAAGACTCTCAGATCCTTTCTCCTGCACTGTGTCCATCTGCATGCTGCCATCCTTTCCACCATGACGACAATGGAGGAAACCTCGGAACTGAAAGCCAGCCCCAGTTAATGTTTTCTTTATAAGAGTTGCTGTGGTCCTGGTGTCTTCCTTATAGCAGCAGAAGCTAACTCACTGAAGCTCCAGCAGCCGCTCTCGCATCCCATTCTTCTTGACAGATGCATAAGCGCCTCTGTGACTCTCAGCAGCCCTGGTAGCACAGTTCCCCCCTCCCCAGGCAGCTACCAGGAAAGTAGTAGTGGGTGGAGGAAGGACATGTCCTGAAGGAAAGAAATCACTGAAAGCCTCTGAAGGCAGCTCCCTTGACCACAACCTTGCTCACTTGAGAAACAAAAACTCTTCACAGAGTAGTATTAGTGGGAGACAGATGAATGAGCTGAGGGGGGAATGCTTTGAGGATGAGCTTAGCATTGAGGCATAGGTGAGTGTCAAGAACTCCTCGCAGGGGTTACAATTCAGTGTTGCCTCTTCTGATGGCCACTGTCAGGTCACTGTGATGCAGCTGAGACAGTACTGGGTAGTGACTGATTTTTAACTGCCCACATAGGATTTACAGGTTGTGACTTTTCCTCCTCCTCCTCCTCCTCCTCCTCCTCCTCCTCCTCCTCCTCCTCCTCCTCCTCCTCCTCCTCCTCCTCCTCCTCCTCCTCCTCCTCCTCCTCCTCCTCCTCCTCCTCCTCCTCTTCCTCCTCCTTTTTTCTAGACAGGGTTTCTCTGTATTGCTTTGTAGCCTGTCCTGGAACTTGCTTTGTAGACCAGACTGCCCTCAAACTCACAGAGATCAGCTTGCCTCTGCCTCCCAAGTGCTGGGATTGAAGGCATCTGCCACCCAACACCTGGCTCCATTGTGATTTTTTTTTATGCCCTGTCTAATTTTTGTCAAATATTTGCAGTCTTGGTATCTTACTGATCTTACTCAGCTTCCTTTTTTATTTTATTGATTGATGCTACGAGATATAAGATTTAGAGCCTTGATGTGAATAATGAGGTGGATGTTAAGGATCTGAAGCAAAGACACTTGTGGTTTAAGGATGCACAAACAGAGGCTGGAGCAATGGATCAGTAGTGAAGAGCACTGGCTGCTCTTGCAGACGATCTGAGTTCAGGTCCCAGCACCTGCATAATGGCTCACAACCATCTGTCACAACACTTTGAAGGCATCTTCCCAAAGTGCCCTTCTGGTCTCTGTGGGTACTAGGCATGCACTTAGCGCACATCTGTATTTGCAGGCAAACATTTATAACCATAAATTAAAAATAAATCTTAAAGGAATGTATAACTAGAGCTTGGTGGATTTCTGTAGCATTTGCTTGGTAAATGCATAATGATTAGAATTAGATTTTGTTTTTCCATTTAAACAAGATGATTTAGGGGTAGAACTGTCACACAGCTCAAGAGAGCACTTGCCCTAGGTTCAATCCTTAGCACTCTAAAGAAAGAACAAAAGGAATGGGGGGGGAAATCTCTCTCTAGGGGCTGGAGCCATGGCTCAGTGATTAATAAGACATACTGTTCTTGCAGAGAACCCAAGTTAAGTTTCAGCACCTTCATCAGGCAGCTCATAATCACCCTTAACTCAAGCTCTAGGGCATCCAATGATGTTTTCTGGCTTGTACAGGCACACACATGTACATATGCATATTTACAGATACACATATACACAAATAACTCTTTCGGTTTTTTGGTTTTTTTTTTGTTTTTTTTTTTTTTGTTTTTAGTCAGGATTTCCTCTATGTAGCCCTGGCTGTCCTAGAACTCACTCTGTAGACCAGGCTGGCCTTGAACTGCCTCTGCTGGGAATTAAAAAAAAAAAAGTAAATCTCTTTCCTTGGCCTTGCAGAGCAGAGAAGAAGACAGGAACCAGGATGGGAAAATGGATGTGCTACATTTTAGACTTGAACTTCCCCTGCAAGCGACAGAGCACGTTCTCGGCGTGCAGCTCATCCTGACCTTCTCCTACCAGCTACATGTGAGTCGTCCTCTCTAGGGAGAGCCATGCCGCAGATGGCTCTTAGAATAGTGTTGAGGATTTAACATAGACAAATTGAATATTTTTCATTGGGGGTAATATTAAATTATTTGATTAACTATTAATAGGTCAGAGGGTTCTGGGTGGAAAGGTTCCTGTGTGGACTAACCCAGGCATGCTACACCTGTCAGGTTTAGCTGCAGACAGGTGGCTTGGGAATCCATCCTCCAGGTTCTTCAGACCAGAAAATGGCATTTCTCTTTCTAATGATTTCAGAGGATGTCAACATTCGTGATGCAGAGCATGGCCTTTCTTCAGTCTTCCTTTGCTGTTCCCGGGTCACAGTTATATGTGAATGGTGACTTGAGGCTGCAGCAGAAGCAGCCACTGAGCTACCGAGGCCTGGATGTCAGATATAATGTAAGGATGCTTCTTGTGGTGTAGCTCCTTCATTCCTGTGTTTATCACATCCTTTGAGGGAAGAGGAATTTAAGCTTAAGAATAGCATTTAGATCATTTTATGTGTATGAGTGTTTTGCCAAAATATATGTATGTGCACCACAAATGTGCATTGCTGGATCCAAGCCCAGGTCATCTGAAAGAGCAGCCAGTGCTCTGAACCACTGAACTCTCTCTCTCCAGCCCCATCATGAGTTCTTTCAAAATGTAGAAAAGGGAGTTGGGGAGCTGGCTTAGTGGTTAAGAGCATTGGCTGTTATTCCAGGTAGCCCAACGTTGATTTCTAGCACCTAGGTGGCAGCTTACAACTGCTTGTAATTCCACCTTCAGCGGATCCAGCACTCTCTTCTGGCCTCCTTAGGTGCTTCACACCCACAGTGCACAGAAACACATGCAGGCAAAACACACATACACATAAAAAATAATGAAGTTTTAAAAATGTACAAAAGACACGATTTGGTTTATACCCTGAAAGAGGGGAAATGCTCTTACTGAAGAACTTAATTGTCTGTTGCTCTCAGGTACACATCTTCCAAATGTATTCTGTGTTAGTTTATTGTTTACTGCAACCAAACACCTGACAAATCAGCCTAAAGGTGGAGAAATTTATTTAGCTCACAGTTTCAGAGGTTTTAGTCCATTCTGGGAGAGAGGGGGCTAAAGAGTGTCTCACAGCAAGACCATCAGGAAGCAGAGTGGAGCAAACAGGAGCCAGAGCAAGATGCAGCCCCAGGACAAGTTCCCAGTGCCTTGTTTCCTCGAACCAGGCCCCACCTTCAGCAGCTCCACTCCCCCAAAGCACCCAATATCTGTTCACATTTGAATCCATCAGTGGGTCAAACCATCCATCAGGTCTGAGCCCTCAGTCCTAATCTTCTCTGGGAATGCCTTACAACTAGATGTGTGATCTCCTAAAATCTCCCAAGTGTTGGCTCAAGCCAAGCAATTTGACCGTCAAGATTGCCCATCACATCTGCCAAATGATCTCGTAAAATGCCTATGTGAATACATTTAAAAAATTAGTAGTCACTACACACTGAACAGGTGACAGATGCCAGCCCAGAACAAGAAAGTTTACAGATGGGTGTGGTGGCATGCCTGCCCTAGTAATCTGCTGCTTGGGACACAGAGGTGGGAGGGTCACTTGAAGCCAGGGTAACTGAGTAACACCCCATCTCAAAACAGAAATTTAAAAAAGAAGAAGCTTATGTTTTTCAGTCTCCACGGTGTAAGTGAACAACACCCCATCTCAAACAGAAATAAAAAAGAGGTTTGTATATATCATGTTTTTTAATCACCAGGGTGGCTTCCTGAGACACCTACTGGCTCAGCCCTCAGCATTGTCTGTTCAAGAGCACTACAGTCATGGCACACGCCAATAGGATTAGGAGTGGAGGGAACATACTTAAGGGCTACTACATGGTTAGCTAACCTGTTTTTCCAGAAGAGAAATGGAAGGAATTTTTTTTTTTTTTTTTTTTTTTTAAGATTTATTATGTATGCAGTGTTCTGCCTGCATGTACACCTGCAGACCAGAAGAGGGCACCAGATCTCACTACAGATGATCGTGAGCCCCCCACGTGGTTGCTGGGAATTGAACTCAGGACCTCTGCACAAGTTGCCAATGCTCTTAACCTTTCAGCCATCTCTCCAGCCCTAAAAACGGATGTTTTTATATAAAAGCCAACCTGCATACATGGGGGGACATTTAGCCATCTCCTAGCTCTCCAGCCTCTTGTCCTCTCCTCATTCCCTTTGCTTCATTCAGCCACGTTCAGGGGACCTTCTGTGGCATATGTGCGTGTGTGTGTGTGTGTGTGTGTGTGTGTGTGAGTGTG